TCTTGAAGTTCCTATTGCAATCCTGATGAGTGGAGCTTTTTGCCTGTCCTAGTTAATTACATTCTACTCCAGCAGGGCCTATGAAGCCAGAGCACAAGGGGTTAAACAAAATCAGGATTGTGGTCTACGCTGTGTTAATATCTGTGCTAATTTATCATTGTCCTCTGTTAATGAGCCTTTGGTGATTGAAAACAGGGCCAGGCCAGAGCTTCAGGAAGAATATACATGAAGAAGGAAGGCTTTTCTTTTTTTCCTACTGAATTTTGACTGTGGTACGTTAGGGTGTGTCTAGGGTCACACTCTAGTGTGTGTGGCATGGAAAGCTTGTTGAGCCCATACCTGATTTTCTTGTCCCACTAATTTCTTCATCACTGGGGAAAGGAGGCATCCAGAAGCAGTGTTATGATGTGTGAAGATTACCAGAGGGCTGTGTGTGTGTGTGTGTGTGTGTGTGTGTGTGTGTGTGTGTCAGGCAAAGAGGAGAGAAGGGAAGAAAGGATGGTAGCAAGGCACAGGAATAACTTCAACTAAAGATGGATGAAGTCAAGTAAGGGATGTAATATGTATTCAGAAAAACCAAATAGCAGATGTAGGAGCATACCAGAAAAGACTTCCTAAGTAACTGCTGGAACCTGGGATCACAGTCCACAAATGGTAGAAGGTTATTGGGTGGGGGTAATCCTATGGGCAGGGACACACAGCCAACATCCCCAGTAGAATGCCAGGACCCTGAAGTTTCAGATCCCTGAGTTACCTAACAGTTCAAAGGCCATTCTCGCTTCTGCTTATCAGCTCTAGAGTTCACGTCAAACTAACAGCCTTTCGAAGATAAACTTTCTCATTTTGTCCCATAATATTACTTCTTTAATCCAAATATATGTACCTTAGAGGTATTAAAGTAGGGGGTGTCATGCCAGGATTGATCTATCTGAAGATAATGTACTTGTCTTTCAGGGTCTTTGTGCTCTAGAAGTCTATTAAAATTCAAACATGCAGCATGACTTGGAAAAAATTATGGCATGCAAGGAAATTTGCTACCCAATGGAGTCACTGAGACATATACACTCAGCTCTATGAGGTAGACTCCAGGGAGAGCAGCAGACCAAGCGCAGGACGGAGCAGGGAGGAGGGCAATGACAGCAAGCTTACCTCTAGCCTGAGGGCGAAGAATGGCTTTCCTCATCTGTTTCCTTTCTGCATTCTGTTCTTCCACCAGCATAAATGTAGCAGCTCCAGAATTCTGCCTTCTCTCCTTAGCAGCTGGCACTGGTGGTTATCTCTGCCTTCTCCTCTTAGGAGCTGGCACTGGTGGTTATCTCTGCCTTCTCCTCTTAGGAGCTAGCACTGGTGGTTATTTCTGCCTTCTCTCCTTAGCAGCTGGCACTGGTGGTTATCTCTGCCTTCTCCTCTTAGCAGCTGGCACTGGTGGTTATCTCTGCCTTCTCCTCTTAGCAGCTGGCACTGGTGGTTCTCCTGGCTGTTCTGTTGCCTTCCTTTTCTGTTGCTTTGCTTTTCTACTTTTTATTATGTTATCTAGTATGCCACATGAGATGTAACCTCTTAAATTGTAGGTGTAGAGTGCATTTGTTTTGGCTATAAACACAATGTCATATCACAGACCTCTAGAACTTTTCCATCTTGCATGACTAAAATGTTGAATGCTGGGTTTATCAAAAGCATCTTCCTCAGGCCTCTGGCAAAGGGCATTCTGCTTTCTGTTTATAAAAGTTTTACTATTCTAGATGCCTGCAGGTGGAATCAGATAGTCCATGTGTTTATGTGATTTTTTTTTTCATTTAGCGTAGTATCCTCACAGTTCATCCATGCCCACTATTATGGTGATATTTTATTTGTATTAAAATGTTATTTGTATGTTAATAAATAAAGTTGCCCGGGGGTCAGAGCTATTAGCAAGCCATAGGAAAGCAGGGCAGTGGTAGCGTACGCTTGTAATTCCAGCACTTGGTAGGCAGAGCTGGGTAAGTCTCTGTGTGTTCAGGGATACAGCCATTATTGGATACACATGCCTTTAATCTTAATACCAATCATGGAAAACCTGGAGGCCTATACAGACAGGCCATGAGGAGGCGGTCATGTGGTTTGGTTTACAACCAATGAGAAGGCAGGACAGGAACTCTATATAAAGACTTTAACACAGGGGTAGCTCTGGTTCGGAGAGGTAGGACCACCGCAGGAGGAAGGGTAAGGTTTTAGCTCTTAGCTCTGACCTCTTGGCTTTCTTCTTTGCATTGGTTCTGTGTTTCTTATTTAATAAGAAGGTTGGATACATCTACACACTATTATAAAATTTTCTTCTATTTTATGGTAGATTAATATATTACCACATGGATGTGCCATGGAATTTGTTTTTTGTTGTTGCTTTTATTTAAGAAATTTTTTAAATTCATTTTACATACCAACCACAGATCCCCCATCCCTTCCTCCAAAAGAGTAAGGCCTCTCATAGGAGTAAACAAAGCCTGATACATTCAGTTGAGGCAGGACCAAGCCTCTCTCCACTTCATCGGGGTGAGCAAGGTGTCTGACCATAGGGAATGGGCTCCAGAAAGCCAGCTCATGCACCAGGGATAGATCCTGATTCCACTGCCAGGGGTCCCCTTGAACAGACTCAACTATACAACTGCCTCCCACATGCAGAGGGCCTAGTCTGGTCCCATGCAGGCTCCACAGCTGTCAGTCTAGGGTTCATGAGTTCCCACAAGCTTGATTCAGTTGTCTCTATAGGTTTCCCCATCATGATCTTAACCCCGCCCCCCCCGGCCTTGCTCACATAATCCTTCCTCCCCTCTCTTTGACTGGACTCCTGGAGCTTGGCCTGGTGCTTGGCTGTGGATCTCTGCATCTGTTTCCATCAGTTTTTGGATGAAGGCTCTATGATGATAGTTAGGGTGTTCAACAATCTGATTAGAGGAGAAGACCAGTTCAGGCACCCCCTCCACTACTGCTTGGAGTCTTAGCTGGGGTCATCCTTATTGATTCCTGGGAATTTCCCTAGCACCAGGTTTCTCCCTAACCCTATAATGTCTTCCTCTATCAAGATATCTCTTTCATTGCTCTCCCACTCTGTCCCTCCCCCAGCTCAACCATCCTGTTCCCTCATCCCCTCCCCTCTATTGCCCTCCTCGCCCCCAGTTTACTCATGGAGATCTCATCTGCTTCCCCTTCCCAGGGCAATCCATGCATCCCTCTTAGGGTCCTCCTTGTTTCCTAGTTTCTTTGGAGCTGTGGGTTGTAGTCTGGTTATCCTTTGCTTTACATCTAGTATCCACTTATGAGTGAGTACATATCATATTTGTCTTTCTGAGTCTGGGCTACCTCACTCAGGATGATATTTCTAGTTCCATCCATTTGCCTGCAAATTTCATGATGTCATTGTTTTTTACAGGATTTGTTTTTTGTTGTCATTTTTGTTTGTTTGTTTTGATCAGTTGTTACTGTGATGGACATTTAGGCTACTCTACCTTTTGGCTGTTGTGTACAATTCTACAGTGAAAATGGAAGGGCAAAGACTCTCTAAGATCATGTTTTAATTCTTTTGGATAACATCTAGGAGTAGGATTGCTAGATTTTATGGTAGTTCTACTTTTAATTTTCTGAGAAATCTGCATGCCATGTCCTATCATTTTGTACTTTTATGGCTAGTGCTGGAGAGAACTGCACACCTATCTCTCTTCTTACTCTTTACCCCTATCTTCCTTCTCCAGCAAACAAAACTGTTGCCTGCCCCTTGTCAACACTCTGCTCCTGCTACCCTTCTTTCAGTTTCTAGGATATAACCTGACTCTTGACATGTTCTTAAAAATCCACGTCAAATCAAAATACCCCATGACCTGATCTTTTCACCCAGCTAGATTTACTTAGTTTCTGCTGGAGTCTCTAGAGCCCTTGTCTTGGTTGTTTGGGACAATTGATAGAGATGTTGTCTTGGTCTGAATTTTTATTTTAACTGAACTGCTGTCTCCTGAAGGCAGGGACTCTGGGTCCCCTCTGAGGACTTTACAAAATGCCTTTTTCTCATCGTGGAGAGGTGAAATTCACAGAGAATGTATGTGTTTAACTGGGTTAGAAGACAGAACTTTAAGTCAGTTGCTCTGGAAACATAAAGAGGACCCTAGGGAGTAGGGTTCAATCCAAGTATCCAGAAAACTGTTCATTTCTATAGTGATAAATGACAGGGACAGGGCAGAGAGGAAAGGTCAGTGACACCCATTTTTTAGCAAACAGTTCTTGGAATAGATAGGCAGGCTTAGAGGATTAAATCTGACTGCACCTGAACTCTTCAGTGTGGGATGTTGCCAGGTAGGGTGGACAGGTACATGCCAGGAACAGGAAGTGTAGTTCACCTCACAGGAAATCAGCAGCTGCTTAAAGCAGGGGCCAGTCTAGCTGGCAGTCTGAATACCACTACTTCTAGCACCCTGTGCTGGAGAGTCCTTGGCTTCCACCCATAGTATGCCTTGTCAACAGTGCTGTCTGAGTGGTTAGCCCCCAGCTAAGCTGAAAGTCTGAGCCTACCTTTGCCTGTCAATGGGAGGGAGAGGAGGAGGAGTGGGCTGCTTGGTACTCTTAATAGCTACGAAAACAGCTCGATCTTTTCTGCTTTTCCCTTACCCTCTCACACCCCTCCATCTGTCATTATCCCAGGGTACTGCCTCCCAAACCGGACAGGTGTGTAGAATCAGCTGCATGTTAGAATTAAAGGAAGTTGTGAGGCTCTGCCCATGGAGAACCCTCTGGCTGGTGTGGATGAGGCTAGGAGTCTGCCAAGAACTGCTGAAGGATAGATACAGGCCTAACTAAGTAGCTGAATAATTATTTCCTTCTTTGTCCAACTTGATTTTTTCATAATTTCACAAAGATCATATATTTCTTTAAAAAATATTAAAAGCATTGATAATATTAGAAATAAAACCCAGATGCTATCCTGAAGTGATCTTGCAGTAATCATTGATACTCCAAATACATTCCTGTTCCCACAGGTGGACTTGACCTCATCTTCTTGCCAGGCCTCGGGTTTGACAGAGATGGCAACCGGCTTGGGCGGGGCAAGGGCTACTATGACACCTACCTGAAGCGCTGTGTGCAGCATCAAGAAGTGAAGCCCTACACCTTGGCTTTGGCTTTCAAAGAGCAGATCTGTCCCCAGGTCCCAGTGGATGAGCACGACATGAAGGTAGATGAAGTCCTTTATGAAGACTCTCCAGCATCTTAAGTCAGACGATGACAGCCATACTCACTGTCTTGTACCGGTGTGAGGAAAATATGTGTATTTTCCCCTTGTCAGAAATGAGTTAAAATGGCACATTAAAGTGAATATTGATTGTGTTTCTTTAGTGTAAATATAAAGTATCTACCATAAAACCATCTTTATAAATCAATAGAAGAGTGAATACCAGAATATTAATTCAAATGGAGGCAAAAGCTCTATGGTTTTCAGCTTAGCTTCCTGGTGTTAAGCTGGTAAGCTGACCTTTCTGCCTTGCAGTTTAAATTAAAAATTTATGAGTATTAGAGAAACATAGAAATTGGGGGTGAAGGCTCTATTTCTTAATGTCCAGTTATAGGTCTGATTGCTCTGGCATATGGAGACTCAGCTGTTATTAATTGGTTTGGCAGTACTTGCTATGGGTAAAATATTCCCCAAGAATATTATACCACATAATCATGACTTCATTCACTCACCTTGAAGTTTTATGTATGACAGACACTTCGTAGCTTCATGTGGTGAATAGATGGGAATCATTTGTGGTTTACACACTTTGATTCAGTTGATTGGTCTTTGGCCCTTAGGACTTTAAGATCTGATATACGTTAGGAATTATTTCTGTTGATTCATGGGTTCCATTTGGAAATGGAAGCTGCCATGGGTTGGACATTGGCAGATGGCCTCACAGCTGGGAAGAGGTAATTTTGTTGAGGAGGGGGAAGATTTGGTTATCACAAGACACTCAGGGGTCTTCCTGGACGTGACTGCTTGCTTGGGTCCCACCCGCAGCCCGTCACCAGCTCCTGCTGGCGTTGCCTCTGGGATGCCGTCTGCATCTGTTCTCTCTTCCCTCTCATCTTGCTGCTATTTTCCTCAACCCTCAGCATTTCTCAGCTGAAGTAGGCAGCTTCATGCTCAGCTTCTTTTGCCTCCAATTTATTTCAGGAGTGATCTGACAAGACATGAATCTAATGTGGACTCTCCCAATTGGAGTATTTTGGAGACTTTTTAACAGTGAGATGCCGTCTTCCACTGTGGAAGAAAGCTCTTGTAAGGGGCCCCCTACCCTTCTTCTATCATCTTTTCCCTCTCTTCCTGTATTATCTTTCTGTGCATGCTGTGAGCATCACAGGCTGTTCCTGCCCTCTGCCCTGTGCAAGCCTGTTTTCCTGTGTCTGCTCAGTGTTGTCTTCTTTTGTCCTGGGAACTGCTGTGCTTCTTTAGGGCTCGGCTCCTGTGTTGTCCTTCCAGGAGGTCTTCTTTGGCTCCCCCACTGCTGGTTCAAGTCCCCCCTCCTTCCCTGACTGTGGCCAATGCTCCGTTTATCACATTGACCTACATAACAGTTATTAGTGTCTGTGTCAGTTTTCTTCATAAGTCCATAAATTCAAAGGAGCTTCCTGTGTTCGGTACATAACTGATGTAGAGTATTTGGTAGCATTTTAAAAGAGTAAACAAAATGCATGTACATTTATTTCATTTAAAACACAGATCTACTTTTTATATAATATATAGTTTGCATAATATATAGTTTGATATTTTATGCACAAAAGTAAAAAAAAATACTTCAAAAATGCCAATTTGGCTAACAGTGGATCTGTACAGTTTTGGATATACAATGAGAAATGAGAGAGAAATGGAATTCCTACAAACTAGGATGACATGATTATACTGGTTGATCTTCTTTTGTGTTACTTCAGCCGCAAAGTTCAGGTAAATGTTGATATAGCTGGCATGACTGTGATATAGTTAAATCATAAAATTACCGAGCTACAGCAGGTCTGGAAATCTTTCTTTCATAACTCAACTTATGTTATTCTTTTACCAAAAGAGCCAGATGTAGTTAGAGAAATGACTCGCCAGAAATTGCCAGGTCACCCAAGGTTCAGAAAAGTAAAAAAACCACAGGATCTCTCCCTGTAATGATTAATCCTGTCAACTTGTCAGGATTTAGAATTACCATGGAAGCAATTCCTGGGTGTGTTTATGAGGGTGTTTGCAGCAAGGTTTAATTAAACAGTGAAGACTTGCCCCAAATGTGGTAACTCCGTCTCATGGGGTAGGATCCTGGATTGAGTGACAAGGAGAAAAGGACCCGAGCACTAACGTTCACCGCTCTCTGCTTCCTGACTGTGGGTGCCTCATGTCCTGGATGCCATGATGGATTATGTGTGCCAAAGCAAACACTTCCCTAAGTTGCTTCTTACCAAGTATTTTGGTAATAACAAGCATAATAACTAATACACACTCCTAAAACGAGATCCATTCCTGTGTGACCAACCATGCCCCATAGTATTCCTGCTGAAGGTATTAGAAGGAAGAAACCCACACACACATGTTGTGGGATGGTCTGTATGTCAAGTGTGTTGCTGATTGGTCAATAAATAAATCACTGGTTGGCCAGTGGCCAGGCAGGAAGTATAGGCGGGACAAGAAGGAGAATAAAGCTGGGAAGTGGAAGGCTGAGAGAAAGACACTGCCAGCCGCCATGATGACAAACAGCATGTGAAGATGCCGGTAAACCACGAGCCACGTGGCAAGGTATAGATTTATAGAAATGGATTAATTTAAGCTGTAAGAACAGTTAGCAAGAAGCCTGCCACGGCCATACAGTTTGTAAGCAATATAAGTCTCTGTGTTTACTTGGTCGGGTCTGAGCGGCTGTGGGACTGGCAGGTGAGAGAGATTTGTCCTGACTGTGGGCCAGGCAGAAAACTCTAGATACACACACACCTGATGATGTAGAGTATGATGACACTTTAGCTGTGTGATTAGGACATCTATGACCCAGGGATGAGCACCACAGTGTAGGACATCATGTGTTATGATTTGAATCTGAAATGCCCTCACAGGTTCATGTTTTGAACAGTTGTCCCCAGTGATGGCACTATTTTGCAGGAAGTGGGGCCTTAGGAGGTAGATCCTAGCTGGCAGAAGTAGGCCACTGGGAGTAGATCTGCCCCTGGTTCCTCTCTGACTTTCTGCTTCCTAATCTGCTGTGATGAAGCCCTCACTGCTGTGACACTTCCATAGCATGCCTTCCTTGCATTCCTGAACTGAAACCCTCTGAAACTGTGAGCCCAACCAAATCATTCCCCTCTTGATTTGTTTTTGACAGATGTCTGTCACAGCAATACAAAAGGAATGAGTACACACTGTAAGAATGAAGAAAGTCTCAGGAGAAGGGTTAATCTAGGTAGAGGAGAACCAGCAACCAGATACTAACTGAAACCTTTAACCAGAGAGGAACCAGGGACAGATCTACTCCCAATGGCCTACTTCTGCTAGCTAGGCTCCACCCCCTAATACGCCACTTAATCTTGAAGTGTTGAAAGCACCAGAACCATAACAAGTGTATGATGTATATTATAGAACTGTGCTTAATTGAACTAAAACTAAACTATATGAAGTCCTAGTCCATCGATGGTTAAGAATAATTCACAATTAATCCTCATATCCTCCTATATAAAGGACTGATTGAATATATCCTGGCCCCAGATATTAAAATATTTGTGTAGAGATGGTGGAGGGGGGATGTGGGGGTATGTGTGTTCCTTGTAGAGATGTCTGAAATTTAGTTGCTCATGGTGTGTTTGCATGGGTGTATGTTTAATTCTTCCACTAGCCTATAGCTCCTCAAAGTACATTCTCTGACAAATACATAATCATTTCAAGATCCAGTACAGACCCCAACACAAAATTGTTGCTAGAGTTTTCCTGCCTGGCCCACAGTCAGGACAAACCGCTGGTCCCACAGCCGCTCAGACCCAACCAAGTAAACACAGAGACTTACATTGCTTACAAACTGTATGGCCGTGGCAGGCTTCTTGCTAAGTGTTCTTACAGCTTAAATTAATCCATTTCTATAAATCTATACCTTGCCACGTGGCTCGTGGCTTACCGGCATCTTCACATGCTGCTTGTCATGCCGGTGGCTGGCAGTGCCTTCCTTCTGCCTTCCTGTTCTCTCAATTCTCCTCTCTGTTAGTCCCGCCTATACTTCCTGCCTGGCCACTGGCCAATCAGTGATTTATTTATTGACCAATCAGCAACACATTTGACATACAGACCATCCCACAGCACAAAATAAATGGTGAATAATTCCTGATGAGGGAATGAACTCGATTCAATGCTGCCCTGCCTCTGTGGCACATGCGCTGGATTTTATGGTGGTTACTATTCATTGTTGAGGTTCTGCTCACTCAGCATTGCCATAGGATTGGATTATTCCAGAACAAGTGTTCCAGGAATTCAGGTACACTGCTTTGGCCAGTATGTATCTGTGAGTTGCATTGTCTGTGTTCCTTTTCCTTGTTGGCAATTTCCGTCTTTGCATATTTTGCATATTTTTTTGTCATTTTCTTATACCTGTAAGGTTTTAGACCTTCTGCCCTGTAAGAGTGATTGTCATTCCCATGGGCTTCTATGCACATAAATGCTTCTTTTTATGCTTAAAAGTAAATGTTCCTCTAAATAATAAAACGCATACCATAAAACACGCATACCAAAAGGGTATGGTAATACTGAAGTAGAGTGTATAAAATTTACCATATTTTTTAAAGGATATAGTAATATAAAATTGTGTTTTAAAATATATTTTTCACTATATCTTTTTAAAATCATATTTTAGTAATTCTTTGAGAATTTCATACAATGACCATATTTTGATGATATTCATTCCCCTGTACCTCTCAGTCAGATTCACCTTACATCCCTACCCACACAATTTCACGTTCTCTTTCTTTCCTTTAAAACCTATTGATTCCAAGTTGTATTGTTCAGCTACTTTCAGGTGTGGGGCTTCCCTGTAGTGTGGTCTGCCTACCAAGAGTAACACTACGGGAAAAAAGAAAACCGACTTTCTCTCTCTCAGCACCTATTAAGGGTCAGTACTAGCTACTCGACTAGGAGTGAGACCTTATGGCCGTCACCCCCTCCCCCATGCTGCGCCTTTGTCTGGCTTGAGC